CAAGCAGCAAGCATGGCTTTGCCCCTTCAGGATCTGAGAGACCATCATCATGCTGTTTGATGTTAGGCAGAGCCCAGAAGCCAAATGAGAGGATGGCTGGTGCTGGGTTCACACTCCTATTGCCCACCAGGCAGCCGCAGCTCTTTGAAGGTTTTCATTGACATTATTATTGATGAAAATCAATTTGCCATGAAATCAGAAAGGATTGACAAAAGTAGCCATCACCACATACAGAAGATACATTATAAAATATAAACTGCACATGTTACCAGCACATCAAAGACAGAAAAACTTGCCTTGGAAATTATCACACGTTTCCAAATAAAAATCCACCAAACAGCACTTTACTTTTAACATATAATCATTAGCATGTTTTAAGACCACATTCCATAATTTCAACCAAGCTTATTAACAGAAATGCCAAAATACCTTGCATTACAACTTAATTTATTTGCAACATGGCCATGTGTAATTTACATTTAAGGACAATGGTGAGTCTGAAAGAAATTTTGCTTTCATGCTTTCCTACTTCCTCACTCTTGCCTGGGTATGCTCAGCCATTGTCTGATTTTCTCTAACCTCTCTAACCTTTTTTCTTGATGATGATGTTTATTTCTCATCTTTTTCAAAGATAAGCCTGTAGAGCCATTGCTTCCTCCGTTTTCCCTCACCAATCTTTGCCATCAGCACCACTAAAAATAGCAACACTGTCTCTGAAGCTACACTAAGTTACCCTGAAGGTTGCTCAGAAGCCACTGTCAGTGAAGCCGCAGCTGGTGGTTATTTAGAACCAGCTGGCCATACGGTACATGAAGGACTTAGACTTTTAAGAAATTTCTGAACTGTCAGTTAATTTCTTGAGGTATATTGAAATATTATATACATATTGTATATTTTATTTCTAGATTTATTTAAGACTACCTTTTATCCTCACAATTTAAAATTCAGCTTCTGTTCAAGCATTCCTAGGTGGTCTTAGGTAGAATGTGAGTTCATATTTTCTGGGATCTGATCAATATGGGAAAGAAATCATGACTATACAGTAGGACTTTGCTGCTGGTGTTAGCTTGGATGTTACTACGCTTTATTTTGGTTTTACTTTTGTTTTCTTTTTTGCTTACAGAGTTGTTGGCTAGCTTTAATTAAACAAAGAGGAATGTTTCCCCCAAAACAAAAAAGAAAATGAAAACTTCAAACTTATTGAATCTTCTTACACCACTAGATACCACAGGACATCTCAGACACTGTTAAAACTATTATGCAGTTAATTTTATAATAATCTGGGAACAAATCTTAAAACTTCATATTTTCCTCTTTAAGGATTAAGAAGTCTTACTAGGTCTACAAAAACAAAACTAAATGAGCTTGTTATTTAAAAAAAAAAATGTTATGCAAGTTGGGATGTTTAATTCAATTACAAGGTTTGGAAGGGTCGTGTCTAATACTTTCCATAGAGCATGATACAGAAACCACTCTTGAGTACACAGCAGATGTGAAATAAATATTTTTGATTAATTATTTTTTCCTGACTTAGACAACTATCTCCTTTTAGGCTGGGTGTGGTGGCTCATGCCTGTAATCCTAGCATTCTGGGAGGCCAAGGTGGGAGGATTGCTTGGGCTCAGGAGTTCGAGACCAGCCTGAGGAAGAGCAAGACCCCGTCTCTACTAAAAATAGAAAAAATTAGCTGGGCGTGGTGGCATGCACCTATCGTCCCAACTCCTGGGGAGGCTGAGGCAGAAGGATCGCTTGAGCCCAGGAGTTGGAGGTTACAGTGAGCTATGATGTCGCCACTGCACTCTAGCCAGGGTGACAGAGTGAGATTTTGTCTCAAAAAAAAAAA